ACGTTTCACACGAATGCCATCTCTTGTTACCGCTTTGGCTCTTTGATAGGGTGTCATTCGATTGCAGATACGAGGTGAGCTGATTATGTACTACCCTTTCGCAAACCTTTGATAAGACTGGTGTAAGTGAGATGGGTCTATTATTGTTTGCCTGTTCCTGGTCGCCCTCTTTTGGGATTGGTGTAACCACAGCTGTCTTCCATTTTGATGGAAAAACACAGTTTTGAAAGGATGCATTAACGATAGACGTTATTGGGTGAACAATTGGATTAAGACAATCCTTGATGACACGAATCGGGATTTTGTCTATCCCTGGGGCCTTGTTTGAAGGCATCGCTGCTATTATACGTTCTATTTGTTTATAATCAATGGTACTCAGTGTGAACTGGTCAGAGAGAGCGTATTGTCTCGGTACAAAATAATTCTGATTAAGTGTTAGGTTGCATTCATTAGCCAGGGACGTAATTTTGTCAACAGTGCTCTGACCAACAGATACGAAAAACTGATTAAATTCGTCTGCAACAGCTTTGTCGCTCTTACTGTATGTTCGCTGAGATGTAGATTTGCAGGGGATGCACTGGCGAATTGCTTTCCAGATATTATTGGTGTTATTTGGATTCCTCTGGATTTGTTGGGCCACAAATTCCTGTTCAGCAATTCTGATTTCCCTCTTTACTTCCTGTCTGAAATATCTGTAGGCAGTCCAAGATAGCGGATCATTTGTTTTCTTTGCTTTCTTACGCCAATCATCCCTGGTCTTCATCAATCCCCGGATGTTGTCTGTTACGCATGGATTTGGTTTACAGCGTGCTTTGAAGGTTTTAATTGGAGCATGGCGGTCGAGTATCTCAGTAAATAGCGAATCAAGTGCATAAAGTTTGTCCTCGACATCGTCGAAAACATCAACTATGGACCACGGTGCCAGTGATACGTCGTTGCTAAAATCAACAGGACTGTAGTGTTTAAAACTTCTGGTTGTAATATAGACGGGTTTGGCGCGCGCTTTCTTCAATTTTAAGGTGACATAAACCAAGTCATGGTCGCTAATCGAGCTTTCCATAACCGTAGCCGTTTGAACTTGTCTTGTGTCCGATGCAAGGATAACATCTAGAACTGATTTCGAAGTCTCTGTAACTCGTGTTGGCGTGTTGATCAGTATTGACAAGTTATAGGAACGGCAGAAATTAACAAGGACATTAGCTCCAGGATCGTTGCTATTCTCAAGTCTGCAGTTCAAATCTCCCAATAGATAAATTGGAACATTGAACGACGAGGCATAAATAAAGTTCTCTGTGAGATCTGAATCGAAACAAGATAACGATGCGTCCGGTGGTCTATAGGTTGTACAGACAATGAAAGACTTCATGTTCCTGACGTGGATTTTTAGCCACAGTTGGTGAAAGCCAGAGGCCGTGATAAGAGATATATCGCTCAAGTACTCCGTCCTGTAATTTCGTGAGACATAAGCACATACTCCACCGCCAATCTTCGCTTGTCGGTCGATACGGTAGATAACATAGCCAGGAATTTCTATTTCCAAATCCGTAACTGAACTGTTGAGCCATGTTTCGGATACGGTAAATATGTCAAACTTATTTTCCAGTACCGTTTCCTTTACAAGAACGAAATGCTCACGGCATTTAAGCAAGCGAACGTTAAGATGTGCAATCTTCACATTGCCATTTGACTTTTCAGACTTGTTTCTAATAGAGCTGTTTGCTGGTCCAGGGTTAAGTTCAACATCATGTAACAGTTGTATAATAGGTCTAAAGGTCGAGGTTGAATTGGCATAATAGGCTGTAGTAACGTTTGCTCGTTTCACTCTAATAGTGACATGCACGTGTGCCCGCCATTTTGTATTTTCTATTATGCAGAGTCTCCAATCCCAGTTTGCCACTTTAACCGACGTAGAGTGCGGGAAACGTAGACCAAAGTACTCATTTGTAAAAGAGTAGTCATGTTTACCTTTCCTCGAGGTATGAACAAGACACAAGAGGAGTACAAGTCCAATAACTCGGGAGCTCAGAATCACACATCCGCCCTCCTTCATGACGACGCCAGATCATGGATCTAGGGCATTAGGTCGCTTTTTTGGCAACATGTGACTCGGCACAAAGCCAACAGCATACACCTCATCAGTTGCATTCCTATCTTTTTTGTACATATTTGCAATGGTAACTTCTAGTGCTCCACAACTATGCTGACCTGGTGATCCAAATGGCTGCCAACCATCCCAGTGACCTATAAGTGCAATATTGTGAGGCTCACCCCAAGCAGATTTTGGTTGATGGTCTGTTCTTTCCCCACACTCTTCACACTGTATTGTGTAAACACCATCTCTTTCAGGGAATGCTTCAATTTGCTCAACTGTAATGACATTACCACAACAGTGACATCTGTATGGCAAAACCCATTCTTTGTCTGGGTTCCAGAACCAAGACAGTTCATTGAAACGACTGCCATCCCACACTTTGCACAACTCAAAGTTTGGACCAATTCCACTGATCCATGCTTCTCTATTAACCCAATGGGCCAGCATCTTTTCACACATACTAGGGTCTGAGAACCATGTTTTTATCTTCTGAGAAAGCCCAAGGTAGTAGTATTTTATGTTTCCACTCTTTCCACAATGTCTACAAGTAGCACTGGGAGAATCTATAACATCCCAATGACAAGGATGACTTTGATCAAGGCAGATTGTGAACTCTTTAGGTTCCTTATAACCACATTCCTTAAGAAGTTTTTCAGTTTCTCTCCAATTTTTTGGCCAGTAAGCTGTGAGACTTTGGTTACTGTGACAAAACAAGTCTTTAGCAAAAAAAAATACTTCTTCAAAGTCATTTAATGTTCCTTGCATTTGGTTTACCAACATAAGTGCTCTGCATATGGCACAAACAATTTCTTTCTTAAGTCTTAGCTCTCCTAAATTTTCCTCTAGTTCTGGTTGTTGGTCTGGTGATAATGATTCACAATCTCCACCGCTGGAGTTACGCAACCAATCCTGGTGAACACTAGTACTATTACCATTATCTTCATTATCAAAGTCAGCTTCAGCTGATGAACTACAAATTAAATCAATTAAATACAAAAATCATTCTTCATCCTAGAATTGATTTTCATGAACAATGCAAATGAAATAAGTACATGTCATACACATGCAGATCGTTTACAATTGGAACGATTCATAATAGTGTTGGGTTTGCGCCTAAACTTAAACTTTTTTTAGTTCAGCAATGCTTGGTATAAACTCAATTAAGAAGATTTAAGGCGAAAATTCGCTTGTTTAAGGTGATGGTCGATTGACAGAACTAAAGTAAATCCCAAGGTGATTTCGGTTTCTCCGTGTGGGATTGATCAGAAAGTTTCCAAGAGGTCACGGATTTACTTACTAACAAGAACATAGTGCTGTTAATCGTTTTCTTGTTACTCTGTTCTGTGTTACTGCGTTGCTCTGTTTAGAAACACCCACATCATAGAGTGAAGCTCAAGTAAAGGCCTCTGCAGCCACTTGTTGATCTTTTACCGAGGAAAAACTAAAAAAAAACGCTTACCGATCTAGATTAAGAACGGGTTCGGCCAGTTCTAAGGAATTTTTCCAGTGCCAATGTCTGTACTCCACCGAAGACGAAACAGGTTTCCCATTACAGTAAATACACCGGCAATGAACGTGAGCGTGGGAAAGGTCGCTGCACTGACATCTAACGATTTCCCTTCGACTCCAGCTTCTTTTCATGGTACAAAGCACTAAGAATATCCAAAAACTAAGTAATGAAACACTTCATCACTATTCCATACTTACTAAACTGGTAAAGGCATGCTTTGACCTTCCTACTTCAAGAGATTAAGGACTGGGGCAAGTCACGAGTTAGTCCAGATTTAGACACAGTAACCATCAATGCCTTTCGGGCGCTCTACTTATTTCCATTGTATTTCTCTTCGCGCCTTTTCACTTTCCCGCCGCCTACGGATGCTTTTACGCTAGAATATCGCCGTAACCCAATAACATGGAGGAAGCTTCAAGGCAATTAACAGAGTGGACGGTGGATGAGGTCTCCAAACGAGTTCGGGAGAAGTTTAACGACGATGTTGCTAAAAAGTTCGAAGGTAAGTTGTACATATGTAGCAAATCCATATTAAAATTGTAAATTCGTTCGATCGTGAACTGTCAGTGTTCTTTGGTCCGACTTTGGAAACGTTTTGTTGCTCCTTTTTGATGCGATTAAAATCATCTTTAAGTGTGCCAAAATTGAGGAAAGTTTGCTGAGATTTATTTGGTATACATGCAATCCGGACTTACATTTCACCAATTGCCTGCATGCTACTATGTCTGAGTGTAAATTTGGAACGACACTTCGTTTCTTTCGTTCCCATTTTGCCTTTACGTTTTGTAACAATGA